TCTTCATCAGCAAGTGCTTCAAGTCCTCACTTCCAGCAAGCAAGGTTAGGTCCTCTGCTTATCACAGGTGGTTAACAAGCCTTCCTCCAATCCTGATGTCACATTCTTCTTATAATTCAGCTTCTCTGATGATTTGCTCCGCATACAGATTGAATAAGTATGGTGAGAGGATACATCCACGATACACACTTTTCCTGTTAAACCATGCAGTATTCCCTTGTTGTGTTCCAACAACGGACACTTGATCCATGTACAAGTTTGGCATGAGCACAATGAAGTGTTCTGGAACTCCCATTCTTATCAAGATTAGTCATGGTTCATCAAGATCCATGCAGTTGAATGCCTTTCCATAGTCATGAAACCTAAATAAAAATCTTTTTGTTATACTCTGCTTGGAGTCAAGATCCATCCTGACATCAGTAATGATACCCGTGGTTTCGCATCTTCTTCTGAATCCAGCCTGAACCTTTGGTTCAGTCAACATGCTGCTCCAACTGTTGTTCAATGATCTTCGGCACAATTTTTCTTGCACGTGATATAAATGATTTTGTTCCATGAATTGAGCATTCTGTTTGGTCTCCTTTCTTTGGAATGGGCACACATATGGAACTCTTCCAGTCAGTTGGCCAAGTAGCTGTTTTTCCAAATATCCTGACATAGACGAGTAAGTACTTTCAGTGCTTCATCAGCTTATTGAAGCATTTCATTTGGTATTCCATCAATTCCTGGATCCATGTTTTAGGCTAATACTTTCAATGCAGCTTGAACTTCTGCTTTCAGGTCATTGGTTCTTGCTCATATGCTACCTCCTGAAATGGTGGAATGTCAACTAGTTGTTTTGAGTACAGTGACTTTGTGTATTCTTTCCATTTTTTTCTGATGCTTCTTATATCATTCAATATTTTTCCCACAGTATTGTCCTCATGCCACCTCAAATTAACAGACACTCCTATAATGGTAATCAATGAATTTGAAAAGGAATTCCCGACCAGAGGAGGTGGGAGGGGGTGGAGAAGCAGGTTTGATATTGTCTCTGAGGTGATTTCACTTCTGCTTCTGGTTAAAACGAGAGGTGGTCTGTCCATAGGAAAAGTGCTTCACTTTACTTTGATAGATTCCCAGTGGAAGAATCTGCCCAGAATTATCTTGCTAATCATGTATTTTTTCACAAAGATTCTTTTCAGTCCTTGGTGATGGTGGCTGTGTTCTATAGGCTCTCTGGATTTTAGATTAGGTCGTTTTGAGGTGTACAGAATTCTTCATAGCATCAGAAGTAAATTATCTGGAAACCCCATTAAAGAAGCCAGACTTTACCTTAAGCTCACCTCTTGCAAGTTGAAGGAACGGAAATGCTCCCTTGGACATAAAGCGGAAACACTCTAGTGCAAGAAGAAGAGGGCGACCGGCCGGTGGTGGTCGATGTGGAAGTCAGTGGGCCTTGGTTCAAATCTCTTGCTTTTGTGGTTGCCCAATCATTGGCAACTTAAAGACTACCAAACCCTGGTGATTTTCATACTTTTATACTTTTCATACATTTACCACTTTCTTAAACAGTGTTCAGTTACTTCAATTTTTAACCTCTTTAAGTGAACATTCCATGTATTTCAGTCTAAAAAGTTTTCCTATATGTGAATAATATTGAATAAGGAACACTGAAGAAAAAAAACCTATGTATTTGTGCTGTGGTGTTAGTGACAAATATTGCAAGCGCCGTTGCTGCCAAAGTAACAAATAGATGTCTTGGAAGAATGCCCCGTAGAGCCAAAGATGACAATATTTCATCTCACAGACTTTGGGCATGCTGCCAGGAGAGACCAGTCTCTGGAGAAGGACATCCTGCTCGGTAAAGTGGAGGGGCAGCAAGCCAAAAAGAGGAAAGCCCTTGACAAAAAGGACGGACATCATGGCTGCAACAGGGGCCCACACGTAAAAACATACGTGAGGAGGGCATAGGACCAGGCGCTCTTCTGTTCTGTTGCACACAGGGTCACCATGACTTGGAATCGACTCAATATGTATATTTACAACAACAACGTTTGTATATTTACCTTTTCTCAATAGTACTTTGCAATCTACACCATTGGCTAGATTAAGGACACTATTACTACAATTATCAAATGTCCAGTGGATGTTACTTAAATTCTTTCTCCACAATGACTGCTTTGGCCCGCAGGTGGACCGGGGACAACCTCGGTGTGAGAGGATGAGATGAAGTCTCACCACCCGTGAGTCCGAGGAGCATCTCCAGTGTACTTCTTTCACGACATCTGACTGCCAGAACTACGTCAACAACTGTGTGTGCTTCTAAGCCACTAAATTTGTGGGGCATGATTAATTTAAAGACAAAACCAGAAGAACTATATTTGAATTATGTTATTGACGAAGAAGAGTGACATGATGATGGATTTCCAGGAGAACCAACACATGTCTCTTGAAAGAAGTCGGATGTCTGAAGGTGGGCGTCATACATCTAACCTCAAGACTTTGAAAGCTAGTTCCTTGCACTTTCTAACTTCTAAAGCCTGCCCACAGTTCTAGGCATATATTCTCTTTTAGGTAGGAAGCCAGAAGTGCAGCACCTTCATAATCTGACACTTCTGCCTCCCTTTCATTGTAAGCAACACCGTGGTTAAATTGGACCCACACTGACAATCCAGGATAATGTCTTATCTTAAAATCCTCCATCCAAGTTGCACAAATTTTAGGAATTAGGGTGTGGACATCTTTGGGGGCCATTATTCTGCTTGCCATGAAACATATGGCCCATTCCTTCAACCCTAAGGGCCACTTTTGAAAACTTCCATCCAGTCTGTCTCATTCCTTGATCTTTATCTTGGTACCACTCACCAATTCACAGGGCCTCTCCATGATGTGGTAAGAATTCGCTTCCCTCCTTCTCCGATACCCTGAGTGCTGAGGGCTACCAATAGCTTCTTTCCCTTTCTTCTCGTTCCTTTTCCTCCCCACTCACAGACCTAGCTTCCCAATAGGCCTCTAAACGAGAAATGCTACGAGTTATTACTTTTTAATTACAAGTGCCATTGTGGCATCTGTAAGGAAGAACACTTTAGGCTTAATTGGGACCAAATGCGGAGTTAAATTAAATGAATAACCAATTAATATAATGTTCCTGTGTTCGCCCCGTGTGAATGCTAAGGTCCAGAGAGAAGGCAGGTACCAGGCTCCCTGGTAATTAATCCGTCCATGCCAAGGGCTGAAGTGGGGCAGGGATTTGGGAGATAAATGCAAAAGGACAGATCTCAGGGCTGGGTTTCCCTATCCTTCGGTTAGAGATTCTCCAACGTTTTCCTATCCAAGGCCCAAGTCCTCACTCGAAAAGTCAGGTTTCAACTTCCACAATATCTTTTTGCATATCTCTGTCATCACATGTATGTGCTGGTGTGAAGAGGCGTGTGTCTCCTTCAGGAGCCCTGGTGGCTCCATTGGCTAAGTGTTGGACTGCTACCTGCCAGGTCCATCAGAGGTGCTGCAGGAGCGAGGTAGTCGAGTTGTTCCGAGTTGGCATTGATTAGCTGGCGGTGAGTATGGTTTCGGCTGGGGTAATGGCATGGAGGAGGCCGGGGCTGCTAACTAAGTCGGTGGCCTAAATCCACCAGCTGCTTTGTGGAAGAGAAGAGAAAGTGGTCTGCTTCTATAAAAGTCTGCATCAGAAATTCCAGGGAGTAGTTCTAATGTCCTATAAGACCCCACTCATGACCCCTAGTGGCTTCCTGGGTTACAAAATTGAACTGCAACCGATAAGCTCAGCGCTGCAAGTCGACCAGTGTCTCCACAGGAGAATCACGAGGCTGTCTACTCCAGCAAAGATGTACAGTCTCAGGACCCACAGGGGCAGTTCTACTCTGTCCCACAGGGTGCTGTGAGCTGCAGTCAACTCGAGAGCCGGGAGTTTGAGATAAGGGCCATTGTGCGTTGGAAGGCTCAGTGGCAACAGATAATGGCTAACAGATTAGGGACTTGGTACGCAGTGGGGAGAAAGGTAAGCTTTGTCCTCCTGAAAGGGGCAGTTCTGTAAGGTCACTGAGTCAGAATCGATTTGATGGCAGTAGTTTGGTTGTGTTCGTTTGGGCTAAGCAGTTGAGCCACCTTCTTCCACAACCTTCGTCGATGGATCAGGGAATGGTTTCAGCCTCCCAGCATGAGTCAGTATTTCTCTGTAGTGTATTGTTTTTAAGCATTTTCGTGCTCGTCTATTCCCCTAACTAGATAAGGTCCCCAAGGGCAGGGATGTGCTTAACACTCGTTTGCTTCCCTTGACACTGAATGAGGTAGGTATGTTTACCATCATCTTCTAGATTGAAAAAAAGCAGCTTAAAACTCGTAATTGGTAGAAGCAGGGAAGAGGAGACATCAAAAGAGCCACAGGAGGAACAATGCCCCATGCCTGCAAGGCCGACCTGTCTGCGGCAGCAAATGGATAGTCTAAGAAGCCTCTGCCTCCCTTCCCGGAAATAGACTGACAGGAGCACAGGCCTACACTGGGCTCTATCGTGGGATTGTGTCACCATCTAGTGGCTCACGTAACTAACACAGGTTCTCCTGAGATCGTCTCACCGAAGTGAAGACATCCGTGTGCTCTTCCTGGTCATGAGAGTCTCCATTAGAGCTGAATATAAAACTCTGCATTATGGCTCTTAATTCTGTGAGGTTGGAGGCCTTAGTAAGAATATCAAGCAATATGAGACCAATCTATTTGTTACTCTGAGAGTGTGTACAACCCACATCCCTGTTGGATTTATATTCTGTTCGCACATCGGCCCGCATTTCCTAGTTAATGTAATGGATGTATCTTATATGAGGCTTTAAGTTCCCAGTTTGTGTTATATCGCATGAACATAAGCATCCCCTCTGTGAACACCAATGATAAATCAGCCCGAGCACACCGACAGTGTGGTCCAGGAACATCACACCCATGAACGTGTATCAGCCCAGCTTGCCGCTGCGGTATCAGCCCTGACAAGGAAGCGCATAGGCACAGCTGGAGAATGGACATCTGTATTGTGCTGGGACACAACTTGAAGGGTCAGGCGTAACACCAAGAGCCAACTTGGCAGGTATCAATCCAGGTCTTGGAGTTTACAGAATAAATATTTTCAGAGTAAGTGCATCAGGACCGTGAGCTAGGAAACAGGGACTACAGACAGCTCAAAACAAGGGCACATGTAACCTTTCTTTCTTGATTTGCCAGTTTTGTCACCCTGGCTCAGGGAACGGCCTATCTCTATACCTGTTTTCTACTTCTAGAGCAAAGCTGGCACATGGTGGTCACTCAAGAATCACTTGAATTTCCTCATCAGCATCCTCTCTGCACAGCACTGACTCCAGAAGGCTGAGCTCAGGGTGAGGCAGTGGAGGTCCTCCTTGCCATGGTCAGGAAAGTGTGGGGTGAGCATGTGCACATGCCTGAGCGTGAGAGCCTCTTTCCATTTTATTCGCTAGGCTGCTGCCTTGCTTCCCCCTGTTTCTGACCCTGAAGGATACAACCAATAATACTTCAATCACAGTAGATAAAGGAGTCATAAAGAGGGCCCGGTGACGGGCTAAAGAACATCCATCTGGGGAAGCCTGGTAGAGAGGAAAGCAGGGAAAGGCGGCCAAGTGCCTGAAGCAGGACAAGATACCCACCTGTCACTAACGTGGCCGATTGATGGCATGCTATTTAAATTTAACTTGGAAGAAGAGCTCCACTGCTTTCAGTCCTTGGCCACATAGAGCCTCTGCCTTCTGTCTTGGAAGCTGTACAGGAAAGAGTCTGAGCAAGATGGGCACGGCATTTAGCTCTGAGCCCCAGGCCTTTTGCTTGCAGCGCCCAGGGAGCAAGGTCTTTAATCTTCCATTTCTTCATGCTTAGCAGTCCCCTTCTTACAGAGAGTCTTCTAAACTCTTAGCCACCCACTGGGTGGAGCTGGGCCAGCCTAGCTGGTATTGAATCAAGAGGCTTTGCCTCACCCATCTGTGGAAGTATCCACTTTTCCCCCATAAGAAGCCCTTTCGGGGGCCCCAGGGAGTCCTCATGCGTCTCTTCAGCAAGGTCTTCAGATTTCTTTATACCTGTGTGAGAAGAGAAGGGGAATAGAACAGACTGAAGTTAGTAAGCTCCTACCCAAATTGCAGGAAGGCAGATTCCTAGGGTCCCTTAATTGCCTTTCATCTGTCCTCTATAATTGGGCTTCCTTTCCCCTCTTGACAGGGGAGCTAGAATAACATTAATCTTATGATGTTTTTCCCACATTTGTCAGCTATGAAAGCAATAGCACACATCCCTTTTCACCTCAGCCTCAGTTCAACATTGTCAGGGGCTTAAGATAAGTAACCCCGTCTTATACATAAAGAGGTCAGAGACACTGGGGGACCTGCCCAAGGTATTGTAGATGAGAGTGAGCAGAGAAGTCAGGATTTCCCAGGGATGGCTGGTTCCAAGCCCAGTGCTCTGCCCACGGTGGCCGCTCCGGAGAGGAGGACCTGCTTTAGACAGGAGCAGCAGGGAGAACAACAAATAACCCTCCATTCACGTGGATTCAAATCTCAGTTCTTCCAGGAGAAAGAGCTGAAGGCCTTAGGCATATTCCATGGCTTCTCAACCTCATCTCTAAAGGAGAATAAGAATACTTCCTTTCAAGATTGCTTAATTAATGAAATATATTCGAAGTTTGACTTAATTCTTAGTCACTTCTGAAATGCGCTCTTTTCACCTTTCTGCTTCATGTTTGGCCCTCCTAATGGTCCTTCAAAGAAACATAGGTAGAAGAAATAGGCTCACTCTGTTTCGACTGTGGCCCCTCGTCCAGGGAAGGCCAAGTAGCCACTAGTAAAGCCTCCTGCTCTCAAGTGCTCTCTTGGAGAGCCTGTGAGGTACCTCCCTTACAGGAAAGTGCTTCCCACATAGCGTGTTGGTCACCACAACCTCAGGAGGATCTTCCTTACATTTGTGATGCCACCCAGGTCCGTCCACCTTTCTCATTAGCAAGAGACTTTTGCTTCGCAGGAGAGCCAGAAAGCCCATTGAAATTGGGGTTTGCAGCCACCCCCTGCAGCGAAGCAGCCCCTGCCTCTGCACTAAGTTATTCGGAGCATCCCTCCATGCCCACCACCACCGGACCCAGAGCAGCGAGCACACCAGGCTGGGCACTGATGCTTCATTAGAATTTGGTTCGAAGGCTTTGATTGATATTTGTTTTCTTCTGCATACCCCAAGCAGAGTGGGCAGATGACCTCGATTTCTGAACTTCAGGAGGTCCTTGCACCTCACAATCTGAGTTCAGTGGAAAAACAGTTTCCCTAGCTTCTGCCTCCTCTGTCCTGAAGGATGGAGTCCTAAGGGAGGGAGGTTGCCAATCTCTGTGGCATCTCAGACCCCTTAGGTAACTTCCCAAGCACCATGCTCAAGGCTGAAAGTCCTTGAAACTGACCACCAAGCATAAGAAAGAGAGATCACACTAAAGGTCTGAATATTTGCATGCAGGCCTCGTTCTAATGAGCTAATAGCCACTGACTTAAAGGCAATACTCACAAAAGTCATGGGACTTGAGGAAAATACTATCGCGGGTGGGTTAGGGCCAGACTAGAGCTATGGAGACACACAGAGGACAAGGGAGGACAGGTTAGTGGGCCAGAAGGGGGCAGGCTATCCAGACAGCACTTCCAGGGCCAGGTTCAGCCCCTGCAATCTGGGCTGGCCCCAGTCTCAGAATGGGATCAGGGGAGCTGAGCAGTGGTTTTGGCTTCCGCTGGAAGGGAGGGTAGGAGAACGGGCCTTCAACTACTGGGGAGACTCACCCTCTGCCACCGCTCAGGGATGCCTTCCATGCCAGGATCTCCTTGTACACTAAACGGCAGAGTAACTGTGGGGAAGAAGCACGGAGGGAAGAGAAGGCATCTCTAGCAGCTAGCACACAGTCCCCAGTGTTAGGGATAGGCACACAGTTTCCTTTGGAAGGGCAACCTCCTGGGAGGGAAAATGGTTCTAAGCAAAGACTAGCTGCTCTTCTAGCCACAGAATGGCTATGGCCAATCCCTGGGGCCTCTAGGGTTCTAACCCCTCAGTACCCTTTCCAAAGAAGAACTCCTACCAGACAAGCCAGGACATCAGCAGAGATGAGCATGTAGAAGACATTGTTCCAGCCCGTGGGGGAGATAAGCCCAGCAAGCAGAGGCCCTAGGGCTGCACCTGTAGTGACAGAAGCCATGAGTTGGGTTAAAGGAGGCCCGCAGCTCTCCCTGTCCTTAGAAGGGGAGCATGCCCAGGAGTCTTCTGCGGGCAAGACTCAGGTTTGGCTGTCAGGAGCCAGGTGCAAGGGTCACAGACCTATAGAGCCAGTGCCGTCGATGATGGCTGAGACGGTGGAGAGTGCCTTGGCATTGCCCTTCAGACTCTGGTGAGTGCCCTGGGGAGAACAGAGGGGGTCCAGCTGAACAACAGCCTTGGGCAGGGCTGGGACTAAAGCAGGGCACACTGGGTAAAGGAAATCACTGGGGCTTGAGGTTGAGAGGGAAGAAGGGGCCTGAGATGGCTTCTGAAAGGCTTTTTGAGTCCAGCTTCTGCAGGCTGCCTTGCAGAGAATGGGGCAAGAGCAGGATAGGAGAGATGATGGGTCCCGGAGACAGAAACCTTGACCTCTAACCCCACCCCATCCCTGGGAAGAGGCCCAGCTTACCAGGTCGGCAGAGACAGCAGTAGTGATGAGTGCATAGGGGCCATTGACCAGGGCCCCACAGACAATCAGCATGACTGGGGCAGAGACAGTCCAGGTATCATGAGAAGTCACCACTCGCCTCCACCCCAAAGCAAGCAAGCTCTCTCAGGCTTCAGGTTTTGAGAGCCTCTGCTTTCCAGTCCCTCCCCCTGGTCCTCAACCCGCCTTCCAAGGGACCATGGAGCCTCAAAAGGTAGAGGCGAGGAGAACCCTCCCTGTGGCCTTGCAAAACCCGAAGTCCTTTCCTCACCTACAGAGCTGGTTATCCCCTTCTGGCCAATGTGGTTATACAGGAACATCTGAGAGTAGGGAGCAGACAGGCAGTCACAATCGCGCTCTGCCAAGGACGGCCCTCCCCAGGCGTGGAACAGCCCTCTTCTGCCTTGGCACCGCAAAGGCCACCTTGTTCCCTTTGCTCTCCTATCCAAACCGCTTAGACGTCCCCAAGATGGAGGGTCTAAGATGCAATGTTATTTGGGGTGTTGTTTTTTTCTTTTCCCCAAAACATCTTTTCTCATTATAGCCTTAATGTCATATCCTTTTCTTGGTTAAGAACTTCAGCAGCTGGTCTCCCTCCGTTCGACCAAAGCCAAAGAGTCAATCATCCCTTACCCAAACTGTCTGGTTCTCTTTACCAGGTGCCTGCTCCTCTGATTGATGACCCCTCCCTTCTCCCCTGATGTGCAAACGAATGCGCACACCTTCGAGGAGACAAGTCTGGGTTTCCATGAGCAGGTGCACACTGGGTTCAGGCACACAGACACGTACACATTTTGTCCCGAAAGCCGTACGCACCATGGGGGCAGCCAAGATGAGCATGCTGCAGCACGTGGTTGCTCTGCCGTTGGTGTAGTCAGAGATGAGTCCAGCCACGATGCCACCTGGAACACACTTCCTCTCATTTTCTGTGAACCCCGAGTTTCCTCCTATCCCCCTAACCCTCACCCGCCTGGGCCTGGGCCCGGGCCTCGAGATCTAGTAGAGCTTCTTGCTCTCCAGCTTCCCCCACAAACAATGTTCTTGTCACCACCAAGCCTAGCAGGACCAGAATTGAGAAGAAAGTCAGTCCCGCCCTTCTCGCTGGCACCACCGGCCCAGGTGAGTCTTCTTGAACCTGTCCCTTCTTTCTGTACCTCATAACAATAGATGGGGGGGCGGTGCAGGGGATGCTTTCAAAGCAGGGAAAAGCCTCACCTATGATACCACCAACATCGAAGAGTGTGGAGAGGTCCCCGGCCTGCTTGGCATTAAAATGAGCTGTGGAAAATGTACAGAGGAGCCAGTCAGGGTGTGAGGTAGCAACGATGAAACATACAACTTTCCTCGAGGTCCTAAATGTTTCCTCCCCGCTCCCACTATCATGACACGAATTCTACCTTGCAAGTCTAGCTAGACCAGAGGATGTACACTGGTACAGATAGGAACTGGAAATCCAGGGAATCCAGGGTGGATGATCCCTCCAGGACCAGTGGTGTGAGTGGCGATACTGGGAGGGTAGAGGGAGAGTGGGTTGGAAAGAGGGAACCGATTACAAGGAACTATATGTGACCTCCTCCCTGGGGGATGGACAACAGAAAAGCGGGTGAAGGGAGACGTCGGACAGGGCAAGATATGACAAAATAATAATTTATACATTATCAAGGGCTCATGGGGGGGGGAGGGGGGGAAATGAGGTCCTAATGCCAGGGGCTTAAGTGGAGAGGGACTATTTTGAGAATGATGAGGGCAATGAATGTACAAATGCGCTTTACACAATTGATGTATGTATGGGTTGTGATAAGAGTTGTATGAGCCCCTAATAAAATGATTAGGAAAATAAAGAACAAAGCAAGCAAGAAAAAAAAAAGAGTTGTACGAGCCCCCAATAAAATGACTTTAAAAAAAGAAAGGGCAGAGAGACTGTAGTCAGACCTGCGGCTTGGAGCAAACATCCAGGCCAGAAGGTTCCTTTCAGAGCATGTAATCCAGTTTCACCCTTCTTCTCAGAGGGAGCAGGAGAGGACCAGTGGGAATGTGACTGGCTCGGGTCACATAGGAAGTTTGTGGAGTGTCGGACCAGAGGCCATTCTAGCTTCTGGTCCAGCACTGCCCTCCTCTTTTGCAAGATGAACTTGGTCTTAGAATAACCTTTCCCCCTGGAAGCACAGGATCCAGCCACTAAGAGCACCGCAGTCCTTGACCATTTTTTCCCCAGACAAGAGAACTTTTCCCATTAACCTCTCCCCTCCCAGAGCCTTACACCAGCCATTTTTCCTGCTCTGCTTCTGACCTAGTAGCAGCCTTCCACCCTCGGGAGGTCTTTACATTATGATGACCAGACGTCCCGCTTTTTGTGGGACAGTTCCGATTTTTGGCATTTTTTAAAAGCCCCGATTTTTGGAAAGAATGCACAACAAGCTAGGGAACGGTCTATTTGGTCCATATAGACCAAATTTTTTATCAAGAAACCCGCCCCGCTCCGGCCCCTGGTCAACGGTGTCCTGCTTTAAATCTGGTCACCCTACTTTACATCCATTTCAGATCTCTGTCAATAGACAAAGACATGAAAGAAATAGGGCCTTCAGGTCCTAGGCCAGGAATGGGGAACTTATAGCCTACAGGCTGTACGAGGCCTGGGAAATCATCAATGCTGGCTAATGTCACATGCCTGCCTCATCAAAGAAGCAATTCTACTCATCACATTAGCGTTTAGTTAATGAAATGTTGGATCGAATATAGCACGCTAAGTTTTAAGTTGATAATTTGTATGGCTCCCAAATGATGGTATAAATATCCAATGGCCCTTGGCAGCAAAGTGAAGTTCTCAACCCCTGTCCTAGGACATGGATCTAGGGTTATATAAAGCAGTGCTCCAAAATTGTAGCCTCGCCCCCCCAAGTTGACTCATACTCTGAAGTCAGCAGAGATGCAGTTATGCAGCAAGTTAAGCGTGAGATGTGGTCATGACTCATCACCACAGCATCCTGTTCAGAGTATGTTCAGTGTGACCGGCAGCCTGACCCTCCAATAGCCATGGATGTGAAGTCTTTAGGCTTGACAGAGCTTTGAGGTTTGGGAGGCTGGAGGTAAGGGCAGGTGTCAGTACTTGGTAGACTTGCCTTAAGAGAAAAGCCTGAGGGACATTAAACATTATTTTTCAAACACAAGAGTGACCTCTCCTCATCTGGGCATCTCGGGCCAGAACAGAGGCAGCAGAAGTGGGACAGACACTCAGAAAGTTGGGCAGATCCAGGCAAAAAGGGACCAATGTCCTGAGGCTCGTAGCAGCCCCTTGGGAAAAGAGCACTTGGTAATAGGGAGCTTGGTAATAGGGAGTGGGGTAGCTCAAAGAATTCCCAAAGTATCAAAAAACCAAATATTTTCTAGCACCTAATCCCCAAACCACCAAGGAGCCTAGAAGGAGGTTTCCTTTAGACCAGGAGGTGAGACTAAAGGTTAGAGAGGGATATTATAGAACCGAGTGCTCAGTTCCCAGTCCCATTCATGTCCGGGGCGGGGGAGGGTGTGTGTGTGTGTGTGTGTGTGTGTGTGTGTGTGTGTAAGCGGAATCAGAGTCCAGGGGCCAGTGCACAGGATTTGTTGCCGTTGTGAGCTGTTGTCAGAACTTCCCACTCACAGTGTCGCAATACAACATGTAAAATGCCGAATTACCCCCATGATGGGTTGCACATTGGATGGTCGTGATCCCTGGGGTTTTTCCTGGCGGACTTTCAGAAGTAGATCACCAGGTCTTTCTCATTTTTTCCTGATCTGGAATCTCTGCTGAAACCTATCTAGCAGGTAGCACCAGATAAGAAGCCCCCTGTGACAGACAGGTGGCACTTTGCATGAGGTGAACTGGCTGAGAATTGAAATCTCCCAGGATTCTACTGGTTGAGATCCCCATTTTTTGTTTGTTTGTTTGGTTTTGTTTTTCCCAAATCTTTGATCCTAGACCAGTGGTTCTCAACCTGTGGGTCATGACCCTTTTGGGGGTCGAACGACCCTTTCACAGGGGTCACCTAAGACCGTTGGAAAACACATATTTTTGATGGTCTTAGGAACCGAGACACTGCTCCTCTATCCATCTCCAGGTGGGTCTACCCACATGCAGATATGCCCACATATGAGTACCCGGCGTGAAGACTGTTAGCCATGCTACACCACGCTTCAAGGCAACATTTCATTTATTTATCATTAGAAATAAATATTTCACAATCTATAATTACATATCGTTTTGTGATAAATCACTATACTTTAATTATGTTCAATTTGTAGCAATGAAAATGCATCCTGCATACTAGATATTTATATTACGATTCATAACAGTAGCAAAGTTACAGTGATGAAGTAACAATGAAAATAATTTTATGGTTGGGGGTTCACCACCACATGAGGAACTCTATTAAAAGGTTGCGGCATTAGAAAGGTTGAGAACCATTGCTCTAGACTAACTCCTCTACTAGCGGTTCAGTAGACATCCTGCCCACACACTGGAGTCAGAGCCACCATCACGACAGTTGCTCCCACCAGAAGTCCTTTCTCGCATTTCGTCTCTGGCCTGTACTTACCCACATTGACGATGTAGAGGGGGAGCCAGTAGAGGAATGTGTAACTGACCAGCTTGGCGAACAGCAAACACAAAGAGAACTCTATCACACCCTAGGGGGCAAACCAGACGGCAAAATGGAAAGGGTCCAAAATTTCCTTGCCCCAGTGATGGCCCCGAAGGATGGATCAGCACAACCCAGTAATTCTAATCCCCTACTGCACAAAGCAACTTCCAATACACAGGCAGTCTCCATGAAAGCTACGTACCCGATACTGCAATGCAAGGCAAGCCTCCTTCACGGCAAGCCTTCCAGATCACCTCCCCAGCCATTACCTACCCTGAGCATCTCTGGTAAAGAAATCCTGAAAGACCCAAATCCCTCCACTGCCCCCATCCTGTTGTCCAACCTCAGACTCCGGAAAGCCTCTCTCTGGCTGCTGTTCCCACACTCCTCACCGGGATCCTCAGGGCCCCAAGGAAGCTGATGGCAGCAGGCTGGGCGCTTGGTCCCTTGGAGCTCGTGGCAGCAGTCTCCAGGCTGCTGTCCTTGTCTGAGTAGGGATCGTTCACAGGGTCCTCAGGGTTGACCTGGTCCTCACCTGCACCATGCTGAGAAGAAATGAGCCCTGGTAGTGGAGCATGGCTGTAGGCCCCCTCCCACCAGCTGGAGGCCCAGTCTGTGTGAGAGAAGTAGGTCTGGGCTGGGCTGCCCTTCTGAAGACATGTTGGGTTGTGAGGCAGTCAATCAAAAGGTCTATTATGAGGCCTGAGAAGTCACTGTAAGTTCAGAGTTCCATCTCCCAACTCCCCATCTGTCTTTGGGGCCATCCCCTTTGGAAGGAGCAAGAGGGCGAGAGGAACCGGGGAAAGCTTACACTCACATGGTGTTGAGGAGGGATGCAGTCCACATCTTCTGGGTCTGAAAGAAAACCCTGTCAGGAGCTTCCTGGCAGAGGGGGCCCTCACCCTGCCCTGGGTCGTGCTGGTTTGGCAGCCAGCACCCCGTATGACCACTGCACCGCCTAGCTTTCTAGGCTGTGTTCTCCTAAAAATGGACTCTATTGAGCCTCTATTTTCTTACCTACACAGTGTCAGAATGCGGGTGAGAACAGCTACCTACTAATTATAAAAGATTCTATACTCCAAGAATGTACCTTCGGCTCCGTACTCCTCGCATCTTTCAGATAGGACCAATATTTGCTGAGCACCTACTATGGACCAAGCAGTTTGACCACATTATTTCATTTAACTATCAAAAACCATCAGCTCAGAGAGGCTTAGTGGTTTGTTCAAAGCTAGTTATCTAAAGCCGTAACTGTGATCTTTGTACTGTATTCCGCTGCCTTCTCCCAGAGCCAGGGAGAGGAACTGGGAGGCTCAACTATGGTGTCGTTGAGAAGGGGGGATCCAGGAGCGGTATGTGTACTCACATTCAATGAGAAAGAGGAACGTGACGATACCCATGGCAGCAGTGATGACACCTGGGACAGCAAAGGACAAGCCCCACTGTTCATTCACCCAGATGCCCGCAATCAGGGAACCCAGAATGTTGCCCATGGATGTGTGGGAATTCCAGATGCCCATGATGAATCCTCGCCTAGAGGGGAAGAAAAGAGGATGCAGTCTACAGCATCGGCCTCGGACAAGCCCGGAGAGATGGCTGCCACCAGCGTCCCTCAGGCACCACAGACTGACTTCTAAAGCCCCAAAGGCATAAGCCAAGTCTGTGAGCACTGCAACAAGGCCTGGGGTCCTTCTCATGTCTTCTCTGTTCCCAACCTCCTCCCCAGCAAGCAGCACACAGGGCTCCCCGAACAAGGTGCTCACAACACTGTGGACAGGGGATATTCCACCCCCTTTCCTTTCTTCTGCCCACTGATCTTACACTAAAGGCATGGTCCTCAACTTGTGGCTACAATGCCACCCCTACAACCACCAACAACAACCAGGGGACATTTGGCAATGTTGAGAGACATTTATTTTTTCTCTTTTGAATCTGTATAATCACAGAATGTGAATGACACATTTATCATAAATGACATATTTCTACCAGATAAATGACACATTTCTACCAGATAAAATTTAAATATTAAACCTTAAACAATTATTTATAATTCAATTCTAGGTATCATAAGCTAATCACAAGATCAAAATAATTTATCCAGTAGTTTATTTCCAATTTTTAAAAATCATTTTATTGGGGGCTTGTACAACTATCACAATCCATACA